AAAAAAGTTTTGGTCTGGTCTGGTCTGTCATTTTTACTTGCCTGCTACCTGCCCTGCCCTGCCCTGCCCTGCCCTGCCCTCTATCTCTCGCCCTTCGCCCGCCTCACGTACCCCGCTACCGCTCTACATATATATTGTCTACATGCATTGACTAGAGAGAGAAAGAAAGGAAGAAAGAGAGAGAGAGAGAGAGAGAGAGAGAGAGAGAGAGGAAGAGAGCTAGAAGCAGGCAGGTAGGTAGGTAGGTAGGTAGTTATAGCTTAGAACTCGCCCCTACTAGCCTTACTCTTGCCTTTACGTCCACACCACGTCCACGTCTACTATCACCTCATAATGTGCAGCACAGCACAGCAAGCAGGCACAACAGGCACTCTTTAACCACTCAATTTACTCAGCTTAACTTACGCCCCTACCTACCCCTACCCTCTACTCTACCACACCCACCCACCGTCCTTCCCATCACACATCATGCATCCATCCATCCATCCATCCGCAGCAAAACCGATTGATATCCCCTCCCTTTATCGCCCACCCATCCACTATTTATCCATCCATCCCATACCAGCACCCACACACGGCTGGACTCGACTCGACTAGCTCGACAATCCCATCGCTCCATCCCTTCACAACACAACAGCACTAAACCCATCCATCCATCCATCCATCCATCCCTACCATACCATACCATCCCACGCAGAACCCACAACCCACAACCACCCCATCCCACTCCATCCATCTCTCCTCCACACACAACTACCAATCATCATCGTCCTCATCATCTGCAAATCACACACACACACACATTAGCAACCCACTCCAAACCGCAAACCCCACAAACCCCTCCCAAAAAAACCAAAAAACAGGGACAGGACCAAACTCACCAGAATGGCTAACCTTACTCTTCCTCGCCGCCAACGCACTCGCCAACGCGCCAGCCAGCCCGCCATCCGCCCCACCCCCACCACCAGCACCACCAGAGCCAGCAGCACCGCTCGGCGGCTCGCCCCCAGGTACAGCCGCTCCGCTGCGGTCCTTCTTCTCGCTATCCGACACCTTGCGCAACTTCGCTCCGCCCCTAATATCCGCCAACAAGCCGCCCCGGTCGCCCGCAGGCGCCGGCATCCGCGGCGCTGGTGCACCGCCTGGTGGTGGCGGCGGCGGAGGCGCTGGCGGCCCACCTCCCGACGATGGAGGAAGCGGGGGCGGGGGTGGCGCGCCGCCTGTAGGCGCTGGCGGCGGTGGAGGAGGAGGTGGAGGAGGCGGGGCAGGAGAGCCCGAGGGCGGAAGGGGAGGGGGAGCCGGTGCGGCGGCGGGCGGCGGTGGTGGTGGAGGAGGCGGTGGGAGCGCGCCACCCGCGGGGACAGGCGGGGGCGGGGGAGGCGGAGCCGCGGGCGAGCTGACGGGCGGGACCGGCGGCGGTGGAGGAATGCTTGGCGCCGGGGCGGGCGGAGGAGGAACCGGTCTCGTCGAAGCAGGCGGAGGCGGCGGGGGCGCAGCAGGCGTGGGCGTAGGCGCCTTTGGAGGCAACGGCGGGGGCGCGGCGGGCGTGTCTGCTGCGCGCGGAGGCGGAGGAGGCACCGGACCCCGGTTGGGCGGTAGCGGCGGGGCAGGCGTCGACACGGAGCGCTGGCCCGCAAAGGGCGGTGGCACGCCGAACTTGGGCGCCTCGTCGTCCATGGGCGATTTGGGCGGGCGCGGCGGCGGAGGCGGGCCGGGCGTCGCGTTCGACTGGGCACGTGAGCGTGCGGGCGGCGGCGGCGCGTGGGCGTGCTTGCCCGCGTCGGCGAGCGGTGGCGGGACCCTGAACCTGGGCTGGGCTGGCGATGGCGCTCTGGGAGGTGAGGGAGACCCCGGACGAGCTGGCGCAGCGGTGCCGCTTCTGCGGGGTGCGGGCGGAGCAGGAGGAGGCCCACGCCGCGACGTCCCCGTGCTGCCCGTGTTCTGAGGACTCAGCCTGCTTGCAGCAGGAGGCGCGCTTGCCGGTGGCGGTGGCGGCGGTAGTCTGTTCTTGCGTTCTTCCTGAGCGGCCTCACCGGCCTTCTTCTGCTCAATGTACATCTTGATGAAGTCGGCGTTTTCCTCAATCTGGTCTTCGGTGATGCCCATCTGCAGGAGCTCCTTGAGCAGCGGCTGCCATGACGGGTCAGCTGTATCAATAGCAGAGCTTTTGCCGCTCTGGTTGGGGCTCGAGGCAGAAGTCGCGCTCGGAGAAGCGAGGTGGACATTGCTGGGAGGAATAATCGAGTGGGCCTGGGCCTGCTGCTGCTGCGAGTTGTGCCGGTGGCCGAAGAGACTGCCCGTTATGCTGCCCAGAAGACCGTGGTGCTGTTCTTTTCCGTTTGGCGCGGCGCTGTTGGCGGAGCCCGCGGTGGAGCTAAACGGCTTGTTCTTGGTGTTCTTGTGCGCGTTCTTCTCGCGGTCGTCCATCTTCTTCTTGAACTGCTTGGCCTCTTTCTCGTCGGCAAAGGACAGGCCGGCCAGGCATTGCTCGAGCTCAAACGTGTGGAAGAAGACACGGTCCTGGTTGTAGGAAAAGGTGTCGTAGATCTCCTGATCCCATATCACTCCGCGGTTCAAGGGCTGCTCGACGTTAGCAAACGGCTTCCCCTAGTCACTCCGAAGTGCCTACCGAAATGTCCACCAGCTTGATCCAAAAGGTGTTTCCGACGAGGTCGTTGGCCAGGACGGCGGCGCCCTGCAGGCCCGTGTAGGTCCATCGGTGCGGGTCCGGGTAGGCAACATAGAGCTTGGCGACGGCGACGGCGTGGATCTTGTTCGAGGCCTTGGGGACGGTGCGCTTGACCGTCTGCTTGTCGTCGTCGGACAATATCGAAGGCATTGTGTTTTGTTTAGTAGAGTGGGCGCGATGTGGCCATACGGAGGAGGTGGTTGTGGTTGGGCACCGTTGCGGCCTGCGTCATAAGCGGTCGGGAGAGTGGAGGTTGCGCGCCCGGCGTCAATCGCTTTAGTACAGCGGGGCTCAGGGCTCGGGCAAGTGGTCGTTATGGATATGCTGGGAGGAGAGAAGACGGGAACGGCGAGGGGCAGGGCGAGTCGTGCGCGGCTCATGCACAGCCTCTGGCGCTCCGCCGTGGTTGCGAACAGCTGGATGCAGCGCCTTACTAAGCGCCTCCCGAATATCCGCAGCACAACTACTACTACCTAATCATTTATGCCCACCCCACTTCCTATAGCGTATCACGGGCGGCCCATCAGAAGGCGGCCTCGACACCTTCTCACCCCCCATCCTAAAGCGCACAGGCGGGCCATCCACCGGCGGCTTCGTCGACCTCCCCTCCTTCCCCTTCCCCCACCAATCACCCTGCTTTCTCAACGGAGAGCTAGCCGCAGGCCCCGCCTCCCTAAACGCCAACAAGCTATCGACGACCATGCCGGCCTCCCTCCTCACAGCCTCATACCTCTCGGTCAGGGCACTCCTCGCAACCACGACATTCAGCGTGCCGCGCAACCTAGGCAGCGCGCCGTCGACGCGCTTCCCGTCCTCGCCCACGCGCTGCCCCATGGCATTCAAGCCGCGGGCAGCCAGCTCTTCCGTGAACGCCGCGCGCACCCGCCGCGTGCCCCACGACCGCACTGTGCGCTTCTCTGCAAACGCCATTGTCGATATCACCGTCAGCCACAGCCCGTCCCGCGCCCGTGCTGCAAACTCGCACACCACCCGTGGGTACCGTGGGTGCGTCTCGTCGTTCAGGATCTCGTCGTAGAACCGTGATGTCTTGTGTCCTGGCGAGTACATGACGGTGAAGTTTGTCGTTTTGCCCCGGATTGGTGACTTGACCCATGGTGGTTGCCGTGCTAGTATTGCCGCTTTGGCTGCTGCTTCGCGCACGCTGATCATGCTGAACGTCTGTGTCTTTGGCTGTGGTGACTGGTTAGCTGGTTGAAATGGTGTTGGGATAGAAGTTACCTACTGTGCTTGCGGGCGCGGGATGGAAGATGCGACGAGCCGGTGTAAAGGTGCGAAAGATGATGCACCAAGCAAGCTCGATACATGACTCGCGCCTTCAATCCACCACTCCACCTCATCAAATCCCAAAATAACCACCCACTCAATTAAAAAAGATCTCAATTCACATTATGCCACCATATATGTACACACATACACGCAAAACGCCTCCAAACCCCTCACCCACCCCATCCATCTATACAACCCCACTAAGCACAACCTCCCTACTACTCCACCCGACCCAAACCCCAAACTCACCGCCCACGCTCCCGCCCATCTCGCCCGGCTGCCCCCCGCTCCCCGCCCCCGGCACAATAGGCATGACCCAGTTGCCCCTGCGGGCGTCCCAGAAGCTCAGATCGCGGCGCGTGAGGTCCATGCTCACGCGGAACGCGTCGCCCTGCGCCCCCTCGGGCTCCAGCCATATCTTCTCCCACGCCCGCAGCTGCCGTGGCGCAAAATCCACTACTGGAGCGGTGTTTTTCGACCGTTTGGTTGGCGGCGGCCCTTCTTCGTTGCCGGCCGCAACCGGGTGGTTGACTGCGTCGAGCTCTTCTCCTGCGTCCGTGGAGATGACCGGGCGTCCGCCTTCCTCTTTGCCTGCTGCGACCGGGTGGCTGTCCACTGGGGCCGGGTCTGCAGGGGCCGGGTCCGCCGGAACAGGCTCCGCAGGCACCGGCTCCGGCTGCACCGGCTCGGGCTGGGGCGGCAAAGTCGGCAGCACATTCGGCTCAAACGCATCGTGAGGATAAGTTGTCTGGACCGGGTCATTCCACTCAGCGGTGCGGTTCGCCTGAGCCGCGGCCTCCGCCGCCTCCTCCATAGCAAAATACTCGGGATCGGCCCAGCCCTCCGGGAAGCTGACGTAGATCTGGGGCACGGCGAAGCCGGGCACGGGGCTCTTGTTCGCGACGATGAACTCGACCGTCGCCACCACCGTGTACAGGTCTGGGTTGCCGCCGGGTCCGCCGCCCGCGGGCGAAGACGCGCCCGTGTTGTTCTGTTGCTGCTGCTGCGAAGGGTCGGACGCTGCGGGGTATTTCTTTCCGGGCGCGGCGTCGCTGGCTGACGTGAGGTAGGGGTAGATGTAGTTTTTGAGCTTGCGGAAGCCAGGCGGGAAGACGGAGTCTTCGGCTGGGGGCAGCGCGTGATCGAACTCTGGCGGCGCGGGCAGCGTCGATGGGTCTGGGCGCGGTGCCGGCAGGAGCGTTTTCTTGGTCGGGTCGACGGTGATGGTGAGCTCGCGCAGCTCGAACGTCGAGTAGCTCAGCCCATAGCCAAATTCGAAGCGCGGTCGGATCTGCGCGTGGTCGAAGTGGCGGTAGTCGATGTAGATGCCCTCGGAGAAGTTCTGCTGCGGGACCACCCCGTTCGGGTAGCGCATGATGCGGCTGTGCGGGCCGTAGTCCTCTTCCTTGTGCGCGATTGTATATGGCAGGTGCCCAGACGGGTTCACGTCGCCGAAGATGACGTCCGCAATCGCGTTGCCGCTTTCTTGACCTGGCAGGTGCGCCAGCAACACCGACTTCACGTTCGGCAGATCGATCCAGTTCTCCAGAATCACAGGGCCAATGGCGTGCACGACGACTATAATGGGCGAGAGGCCGCGGCCGCAGCGCGCCGCCACCGTCTTGACCAGCTCGTCGCCGCCTTTTTGGGAGTACAGGTCGTTGCGATCACCCTTGATGCCGTCAGACTCGATAAAGCCCTCACCTCCATCACTGTTTATAAAGACAATGCACAGATCCTGCTCCTCAAGCGCGTGCAACCTCGACGCCGGGATCTCATTGGCCGCATAGTCATGGATGATGACACTGTTGTTGTCAAACTCGCGCTTGAGCGCATCCAGCGGCGTGACGAGGTAGGGATAATCAACGGCGCCACTGCCCCAGCCCGAGGCCAGCGTGCCTTCGTTACAGCCACGGTCGACGCACGCATTTGGACCCTTGGGGTTCCCTCGCGCGTCTTCACCGTAGATGCCAATGTGCATGGCAAAGTCGTCGTCGTTGTGGATGAAATAGCTGTTGGAGCTAGGGCCCTGGCGAGACAGCGGCAGCGTCGCGTTGTGGTTCTTGACCATGACAGTGCCTTCGGCAGCAATCCTGCGGGCGAGGATGCTGTGCGCCTCCTCGCCGATGCCCTGAACATCGCGGAACTGGTTGACAATGCCCGTCGTCTTGTCGTCGCTGCCGGGGTGCAGCAGGCCAATCTCCTCATCGGTCCAGGAGGAAAAGTTGGGACCACTCTCCGGGAACTTGGCCTTGTCGTCTTGGCCCATCTGGTACCAGGCCGCCACAATCCGCGTCACCATGTCGTTGAGCCGCTCGTAGGGGACCGAGCCGTTGAGGACCGACTTGGTCAACTCTGCGCCCCACAGCGCCTTGCCGTCTTTCCACTTCAGACCGTCGCCCGGCATGCTCATGTCGAGGCCGGCCAGAGCGCTAGCCACGCCGCTGCGCTGGGCCAGCCAGTCCGACTGCACGAATCCTTGGAAGCCCAGCTCGTCCTTCAACACGCCGTTCAGCAGCTTGCTGTTCTGGCAGGCGTACGAGTTGTTGACCTGGTTGTAGGAGCACATGACGCTGCCGACGCCGGCGCGCACACTGTCGGCAAAAGGCCATGCGTAGATCTCGTGCAGGGTGCGGTCGTCGATGTTGGAGGAGATGGCATTAGGGGTACCCCACTCGTAGGCCTGGCGGTAATGCTCCTGCTCGTTGCCGATCCAGTGCTTGGCTGTAGCAATGACGCCCACGTCCTGGATGCCGCGGATGGTCCAGCCGGCAGCGATACCCTGCAGCACCGGATCCGCGCCAAAGCCCTCCCAGTTCCTGCCACCGGCTGGCAGCCTACCCAGCGGGCCCATGGCCGGGCCCAGCACCACGTTGACGCCCTTGCCCTTGGCCTCCTCGCCGTGCGCGCGCCCGCGCAGGTACATCAGCTCTTTGTTCCACGTGGCACCCACCGTCAAGCCAGCGGGCCAGGCCGTGGCATGGTCCGCGAAGCGCAGCCCCAGCGGGCCATCCTGCAGACACAGGCTGGGGAAGCCCAGGCGCTCCACCGGCCCCGTGTTGCCCACGCACATGCCCATCATCCAGCTCACGCCCGTCGTGATATTGACCTTTTCCACCAGCGACATCTGCCGCACCATGTCCGCCGCGCGCCGGTAGCTCTCCTCCCACACCGGGTCCGCGCCGCCGCGCGGCGACGGGTACACGCCGGGGCTCTGCCCGCCCACGGGCACCGCCGTCCACGCCCACAGCCCGCCCGCGCTCAGCAGCAGCAGCACGCTGACGACGAACAGCAGCATCAGCCAGCACCACGCGCGCCGAGGCGGCATCCAGCACCTCTGGGGCATCCAGCGCGCCCAGGGCCGGCGCGAGCCGTACAGCCTGCCGGCGCCGTAGCCATGGCCGCCCAAGCCCACTTGTGATTCCGAGCGATGCTTCCTCCCCTTGCGCTTCAGCGATGCGCCGTCGTCGTTGAGCGGGTCGAATTCGTCGAGGTCGGCATCGTCCGAGGAGGTCGAGGAGCGGTACGCGGCTTCGAGCGAGGGGCGGAGCGCGCCATTCTCGGCGGCGTCGGACTGGTTGTGGACGGCGGTGTATTTGCCGCGCATTTCGATGTCGTCGGGCATGTCGCGCGCACAGAAACGAGGGACAAGTTCAAACGTTCAATCCGAGGTGCTTTTAAACCTCAATCTTGGCTTCACTCAGCAGCCTTCTCCCGCAAGCTCGAACGCGAACCTCTCAAACGTACAAATAGTTCCAAACCAGAAGTTAGTATGTAAAAACGAAAGACGAAGGAGAGATAGAAGAAAGGCCCCGCGCGCGAAACTTTGAGCTAACGGTTCAGCATCGAGAGGATGACGAGACGAGACGTAGTCGAGTTGAAGTCAAGTCGCGAGTCGAAGAAGAGTCGCGAGACGTAGTCGCCAGACGAAGTTGAAGCGAAGTCAAGCAGAAAGGCGAATCGAAGACGAATCGGGGAAAGAGACGAAGTGGTCAGGGTACAGTACTCAGCAGCACAGCAGGCAAGTCGTCTAGTCGCCAACGTGGCCCGGGACCCAATCGGTCAGAGTTCAGAGCTTGAGAGCAGTACGGATTACGCAGATCCAACCACAGGCAAGCACATTTATGGATCAGGGCGTTTCAGGATCGGGCTTGGCAGGGCCGGCGGCGGAGACGACGGAGACGACGCGTGCGTGCGTGGACTTTTTTTTTTCTTTCTTCTTCGCTGCGTGGGTGCGGAGCGCCCTGCGGAGCGCTGGTGGGTGCTGGTGCGGAGCGGTGGCGGAGGACCGCCGCAAGGCCGCGCCGCGCCGTGCTGTGCAGCATGTGGGTGGGAAGCGCAAAAGGGGGCGCGTGGGGCGGCGTGCCGCGTGCCGTTGAGCCTCACCTCACCTTCCTCTAGGGCTTGGCTGTCATCAAGGTGCCACGCCGCACTCCACTCCACCGCCCTGCATGGAGGCTGCAGCAGCGGGCCTGCGGGACGGGGACGACGAGTCAATGTCGAGCCAACGCCAACGTCAACGCCGAATGAATGCTGCTTAAGTACCCGTACAGTACTGCACTGCACTGTACAGCAAGCCCGCACCATCACCACCACGTAACTACTGTGCTGTGCTGCTCAAGGCCGTCCGCGTGCGTACACGGGCAGTTTCACGCCCGTGTGTTTGTTTGATCTAGGTTGATGCTCCTACGTACGCAATACGTACGCACACACGCGCCTCAGGCACCCCGCACCACCTACTCCCGCTGCGTAAATCCCTAGCACAAACCACACCAGCAGCAGTAATTGAAGAGGAGTCGTAGTCGTAACTTCATTTCGTCTCAGACAGAGTGAGACGGTATGGAAGAGAGCTAAGTGAGAGACGGCGCCACCGTCCATCCAGCCATCCAGCTATCTAGCAGGCACTGGCGGCGCAGTCGAAAAGTCTTGGACATCGCATCGTCCGTGATTCCCTGATCCCATACCGTACCATGGCGGGTATTCCCCGTCCATGCATCCCATACGCCACGCCATGCAAAGCAAAACAACCCCATTCCGTTCCCATTGTCATTATTAGCCAGCAGCAATCATCATTGCCGTAATCGCTAGCAACCTCAATACCCTCCAGGTATCTAGTATCCAAAAGCCTCGGCGTGGAGGTAGACGCCCTGCGCGCCCGTCCCCTTATGCACCGCGCGCTCATCACTAAGCGCGACGACGCTCATGCGCACATCGCCCACCAGGCCCGCCGGCCCGCAAACTACCACCGCGCTCTCGCCCAGCGCCTGCTCCAGCGTCTTGCGGATAATGGTGCGCGGCTGCGGACGACCCGACAGGACCATGATGCTAGGGTGCAGGAGCGGTTGCTGCTTGGCCTTCACAAAGGTGGCGTCCGAGGAGTCCGAGGAAGGCGAGGTAGTCGTCGAGTCGCCGGCGGTGGACAACTTCTTCTCAGGTCCCGGTGCAGCCGAGGGAAGCGAGGATGGCGCGCTGCCGCAGTTGCAGGTGCACACGGCGGGCTCGATGGCGTCGTCTTCGTCTTCGATCGTCGCCGTGCAGCAGCAAACGCCGTCGGGGCCGCAGGCGCCACCACCGCGTCCAGTCTTCCCATCCAGGATCGAGGCAGCAGTCGCGTCTTCCAGCTCGCGGACTTCGAACTTGTCCTGGCGGTTCTGCTTTTCCAGCACCAACTTCTCGTCCATAGCCTCTGCTTCTGAAATTTCCTCCACGGCGCCGCGCGACGGAACTGGGTTGTTCGACAGCATCGATTTGTGCTCCTCGGTGAAGCTCGGGTCGCACGTGATGTAAACGCTCATCTCGACGTCAACGGATTGACCTGCGGCACGCAACGTTTGGACGTCCTCGGCGACCTGGGTTAGCTGCTCGGTGAACCAGCTGAGCTGGCCTCTCGACTTGACGACCCAGACGAAGCGGATGTGCCGTGTCACGGCTCCCTGCGGAGCGCTGAAAACGCCCGAATGCTTCTTCTCGTGCTTCCAGTGGGCCAAGATGTCCCGAAGAAGGGGAACGGTAAAGGTGGCACCTGTGCTTCCGGCGAGTAAAACAACGCTGTCAAACTGACGAAGTGGTCTGATGCATCCGTACGGTCCTTGGATAGCCACGGATTTGGAGTCTTTCACAGTGTCCGCAGCCGAAGTCGGCAAAAGGCTGACTTTCTCGGCATACTTGAAGAGGCGCTTCGTTCCACCGCTCTTCGTTTGGACCAGAAATTCCATCTTATCGTCCTCGGGGATGGATGCAATCGTAAATGGATGAGCCTGCAGAGGAACCACGGAGTGGCAAGACAGGAAAACGTGCTGGCCGGCGTACCAGCCGATTGGCGGATTGCGGATGGTAATGCGTGTAGCGTTGTTGGATAGAGCAGTGAATTCCGCGTTGCAAGCCCAGAGACCGGACATAGTTCCCTGTCTCTTCTGTTTCGGATGGAAAATGGAGAGATTCGCGTAGAGCATAAAGCCCGCGCGTAATACACGGTCGAAACAAACAAGTGCAATCGGAATCCAGACGTAGACGCGGATGTACATGGGCCAAGAACTGATGTGCTTGTACACGAAGGCGAGGAATACCGCAAACGAGCCAATGTGCTGGATCACGAAGACCTCGTACCTCCAGCCGCGGATAGGCGTCATTGAGCTGATGCAAAGCCAGACCAGCAGGCACCAGGAGATGAGGCCGTGTTTGGTGATGGGGTCGGTCCGGACCTTCTGTTCGATGTAGTTGTACGGCGCCCAATCGGCGAACCAGTATCCCATGTGAATCGTTACCGTCAGAAGCAAGCAGCGCGAGGCCCAGCGATGCAAACAGTTGAGGCGCTCGTAGCTGGTGCCCGTCAAATAGCCGATGATGTTGTGCTTTCCAGCGAGGAGGATAATCAAGGGTAGCTGCGCAACAGACATGCAGCCGGTTCTGTAGCCGATCATTTCGAAAGTCCACAGATCGTTGAGGTCAAACTTGAAGAAACACAGTACGAGGAGCATGATGACGTTGGCGCAGATGATAGACAACGGTCCCAAAGTCGGCATGCGGATTCTATGACCCTTGATGGTAATCGGCGCAAGCGTGGCATTGCTGGCCTCTCGGATGATGGCCGTCGCAGAGGCATTGGCGCGAAAGATCCAAGACTTGGGCTTTGCGGGTTGAGGATCTCCACGATTCGCGGCGGACAATCTTTAGCTGGTTAGCAGGGATAAGCAGAGCCTCAAAAGATTATGAACCAACCTTTGGCGATACAGAATGTAATTGGTGAAGTTGACCAGCGTTGCGATTCCAATAAAAGTTCCAACGACAGCCCAGTACATTTGCTGGAGATAGGACAGCGACGGCACGCCAGCGGGGCTGCTCGACATGCTCATGCCGCCACCCATGTCCATGCCGCCCATGTCCATACCTCCCATGTCCATATCCATCTTGTCGACGTCCGGTGAGGGTTGGATGTCGAGTTTAGGATGGTGAAGGCAGCATGAGGCCGGGCGGAAACAAAATGAAGGACGAACAAAAGATGACGGCACGGACAAGTGAGCAGGATGGAGGTAGTTTCAATTCGGAGGTCGGGTAAGTAACTGCTCGCAGATCAGGGCCCCCCATGTCTTTGTCCGGCGGTGGGATTGCTGCGAGCCCCGCCAAACAAGCTCGTTTCACCCAATCGAAGCGAAGCGGGGCAGTCATGACTAAGAACCCGCTCAAAATGCCTCCCGGTCCGTGCCAATTCGGGCAGGCACGCAGGCCACGAGCTCGCCGCCTCCCGAGCCCCGAGCCACAATGCCCTACGGGATCCCTACGCTACGAGTTAAGCATCCTGTGTCGATGAAGCAACCTTGATTGTGCATCCTGCAACTCGGTCCCACTGCCAAACTTTCTTTCATTCACCACCACAGCCGTCGTGACGGTCACAATTCCCTTCTCAATTCAGTCACCAATCGCCTGAAAACAGGAGCATATTTGCGCGTCCCCCCTCTATAATACGTCACGACCTGGTCACGCTGGTCCTCGTCTTTTTCTAAACTCCACGGGCCGTCCGCTTCTTCTCCCGCCGTCGCAACTCCACTTCACAACTCAGCCGCAATGGACATGGACATGGACATGGGCTCATCCTCGAGCTCGAGCTCCAGCTCCAGCATGAACATGGACGCCGCCGACATGCGCATGACCTTCTTCGACAGTCCGTTTACCTCACTCTTCTCCAACCAGTGGACTCCCAAGAACAAGGGCACCTACGCCGGCACCTGCATCTTTCTCATTGTCCTGGCCGTCGCCTACCGCCTTTTGCTCGTCGGAAAGCAGAAGCTCGAGGAGCGCTGGCTGAACCAAGCCATCAACCGCCGTTATGTCGTCGTCGCCGATAGACAGCCCGAGTCCGAGCGCATCGAGAAGGACCCCGACTCCAAGGACGCCGTCCTTTCCGCGAACGGTGTTGAGGAGCACGTCAAGATGGTTCGTGCCAAGGCTTGCGGGGCCCAGCCGTGGAGGTTCAGCGTCGATTTGCCTAGAGCCGCGCTGGTCACTGTCCAGGTCGGTGTCGGTTATCTCCTGTAAGTTTTCCTGCTTCCCATCACAGGTTACACCTGAATAACCATTTGTAGGATGTTGTCTGTCATGACTCTCAACGTTGGCTACTTCTTGTCGGTCCTGGGTGGAACGTTTCTGGGCGAGGTGATTTTGGGAAGGTACAACCAGGGCTTCGCGGATCACCACTGAGCAGATGGCATTTCGGCAGGGAGTTTATGGCGTTCACAGGCAGGACACGACAGAAGATACCTCAGCATGCCGGAGGCCAACGGGCGGCGACCCAGGGGGCCAACGGCTAGCTACGTACGAATGAAAGCGACCAGCGGGTTTGCACACCCAAGACCTTGTTGTCCGTTTCGTTGTGACAATTCACCGCCGCGGCGACGGAGGATCCTCTCTGCGGTCTCGGCGGGGGCTGCGGTGTGGGCGTCGCGGGCCGGGGCACCCTTGCACGCGCCACCCGGGCAGTAATGTGCTCAATTCCGCGCAGCCAAGCCCAACATTCCTCCACCATGAGCAAGTTGTCGCACCAGCGCCCGTTGCCACCGTGAACGGCCTCTGCAACACGAGGCCAGATCCTCCTCGCCTAATTGACTTTACGCGATAGCGCCGTGCGGCGAGCGGGGTGCGGTAGACACCGTCACCCGGCGTCGGCCTCGTTTAACTAACCCTCTCATCTGTCGCCGGCCTCAATTGTGCCCTTATATATCCTGTCCTCCCGTGTGACTCCCGGCGCCTTGATTCCAGCATTCCTCTCCGTTCCTCGTGCCCGTCCTTGCAACACCAACCCCGCGCCACAAGCACCACCACCAGCAACGCCAACAACAAACCAAACCACCGCAACCATGTTCAGCAAGACGGCGCTCCTCTCGCTGCTGCCGCTCACGTCGGCGCACTTCCTGCTCAACTACCCCGAAGCGCGCGGCTTCAAGGACGAGTCGGCGGCCAACTTCCCATGCGGCGGCTTCGACAGCCCCTCGTCGAACCGTACCGAGGTCCCGCTCGAGAACTTCCCCATCCAGCTCGACATGCACCACACGGGCGCCAACGTGCAGGTGCTCCTCGGCGTGGGCAACAACCCCGGCAGCGCGTACAACACGATTCTGCGCGACACGTTCGCCGAGCGCGGCCCCAACAACTTCTGCATTGGCGGCGTGTCCATCCCCAGTAGCGTCAACCTGACCGAGGGCATGAACGCTACTATTCAGGTTGTTACCAACGGTGACCCGTCCGGTGGTCTGTACCAGGTATGTTTCTCCCCACCCAAACTCTCTCTTTCTCACACTTCCTCGCATCATTGCTGGCGACTAACAACACCCCCAGTGCGCCGACATCACCATCACCTCCAAGTCCCTCAGCACCGAAGACTACAACGCCCACTGCAAGAACAGCACGGGCGTGACGACGCAGGCCGGCTCCGGCAACATGAACGCCAACCAGACCAAGTCGGGCAGCAGCAGTTCCAGCTCCTCGAGCAGCAGCTCGAGCGCCTCGGCCTCGTCGTCCGCGAACGCCGCTGCTGTCGCGCAGGCCGGCTTCATGGGCACGGCCGTCGGCGTCGTTGGCGCCATTGTCGGTGCCGCGGCCCTGCTGTAAGCGCGTTTTTGGACGCTTGCTTGCACGCTGTGTGCTGTGATGGATGGATGGGTTGAAGGCTTGTCTGCTACATGCACGAAGAGAAACAGGATTGAAGAAGGAAACAGGGCATGGCACGGCGCCAGCCCGACAGAAGAGGACGAAATACCCTCAGCGGCGACCCGGCGACAGCAGTGGTGGAAGAGGTGGCCGGGTTGGTCCGCTTAACGTTGCTTTGCTTTATTTGCTGCATTACGCCATTGTTAAAAAACGACCAGGCTTGTGCTGTGTTGCGCGCAGTGCGCGCGCGTGGGCCTTGATGAGATAGATATTTTAAAACAGTTACTATATTACTACATCCTACATCTTGCTCCTAGCTTGCATAAAAGACGGCTGTGGCTGGGGGGTTTTGTTGGCACTGCTATTGTTTTCGTTCATTGTTTGACTTGTTTCACTTCTCCCACTGATATTATCTTAGACATACTGCGCCGCCTTGGACCAAACCCGCTTAGAATTCAAAAATTTGCAGCATTGCTATTTTATAGAGGTAGACAGACGACTTCTAGACTCGCTAATCTTCTCTGCTCCCCCTTCCATCCCTGCAGGTACTTCCTTTGCCTACGTCGGAGGTCGCATCAGGCTATGCAGCAATCCTGCATCAATTGATAGTGCATAGGGCCTGTATTCACACCGCACCAAAAATGTCGTACATATCATAAGTATGTATCCCTTACCTCAAACCTCTCTTTTCGCCATTATCGTCATTGTCGTCGTTGTCGGAATCGAAGGCTCTACTAGCTAAAAATGGAAAACTCTATCCCTCTCACACCAGCGTCCTCCCTTCTCCAAGTCTGCACGTAACACCACAACCAAACCACGCCCCCAAGACCACAGCCCCGGGCATCAGCCCGCACAAACCGCACAAAAGCACACCAGCACCGCCGCAGCGGCGCGATCCTCGGCTCGCTGCTTCCGATCGCTTTGTCGCGTGTGCGTGTGCGTGTGCGTGTGTGGGTATGTGTGCGGCGGAGGCGTGTCCGCCGCCGTTTTTGTGGCTTTGTGGCTTTGTGACGGGATGGGGTGGGGAAGCGGTGGGGAGGCGGGGGCGGGGTTTGTGAGAGTGTGTGTGAGGGAGAGGGAGGGTGAGGGGAGGTGAGGGTAGGTGTTTGTTTTGTTGCCGGCTTATATCTCTACTGCCGCCTCCGCCTCCTCCTCCTCCTCCTTTTCTCTTCTCCCTTCCATCCCTTTTCACACCTCATAGACCTAACAGAGTCAACCAGCACGCCAGGACGTGCGTCATAGCTACAGCATTTCCCCCTCACTCACTCACTCACTCACTCACTCACTCACTACAAATGTTTGATGCGGGTGTCACGGATGGACGGGTTCGAGGACAAACAACCAAACGCCCCTGTACCCACACTACACCATACCACACCGCTGATACTCGCACAGCCCACGTGGGCACCCGTTGCTGGCTTGGGTAATTGGTGGAACGGGTTGGTGTGGTTGGAACGTCGGGACGATGCATACTGCCACGTTGTGTGTGTTTGTGTGTTTGTCTGCCATGTGTGTTTGTGTCTGTTTGTTCGTAGGGACACAAGGGTGAGAGCGGAGGGTACTCCGTCTCCGGGTTTGGGCTTGGTTGTGTGTGCGTTTGGGTGGTGGTGGTAGTGGCGGTGGTGAAGGAGGGGAATAGGGAAGGTGGATGGAGAGGAAGGGAAGTATATATTTATGAAGTAGATGCGTATATATATGGATTTCTTTTCTTGATTTTTGTTTACTGTGAGGATGTGTGTTGAAGCTATAGAGCGAGGATAGGTTCACTGGTCGTCTAGTGCATAGATAGATGGATAGGTGGGTAGTAGAGGAGAGAGAACACGATATAAGAGGATGCTTGTAAACGCGTACTTATGAAGCTGCCTTGTTAAGGCTGTGTATAAATACATATACGCCACTTACTCACTAATCTACAGGCTACCCACGAATCTACTTATCTATACTACTGCTATGTAAATAGCTGTCTACTTCCTTCTATACTTACTAATTTATAATTTTCTTGTTCTACTACCCCGCTTCTTGCGGTTGCTTGCCTGTGTAAAGCTAGGACTAAGTACGAGATTCTACGCAGGTCGGGGTTTAGGTAGAGGATTATTGGTGTAGATGGCGTGGGTGTGTTGTGGTGCGATACGGTGTATAGGAGTAGGATGTGAGGAAAAGTAGGAGAGGGATAGAGTGAAAGAAAGAGGAGAGAGGAAAGGGAATATATCAAGAAGGCACAGATAGATAAAAGCAAGTAAGAAGAAATTAAAAGAGAACAATAAGAGCAAAAAACAGTACTATCCAATATAGACACGAACAAACCTACCTCTACCACACCCTATCTTTCCATACGCATACTCAGTCTCCTAACCCCACACCCAAAGCCCAGCAACTCCATTTTCATTCCCATATAATCCAACAGTCCGGGGAGTCAGTAAGTAGCAGCAATTGTCAGTAGCTCGTTAGTAGCGTAGGCGGAGGGTGCATACACAGTTAGTTAGATCGTACAATCCCGCTCCCTGCATAAAGACATTACGCCACAACACACACGCTCTTCTTCGCCGTCCTTCCTGCACCTGCGGGCGGAACAGCAACGGTACGAGGAAGAGCAGGAGCAACCGCCATAAACGCAGCAGCAGCAGCAGCAGCAGCAGCAGCACTATTACCGCCATCTTCGTCTTCCTCCATCTTTATGCTGCCGTGGTTCTTCTTCCTTCCCGCCTTGGCCCAGCGTACTACGAGCACCGCGTCAGCAAGGAGCGTCTCAACTATATCGATGTCAAGGAAGGAAGAGCAGGAGAAGAAACACACTTACGCCCGCAAGCATTGCACAGTGTCTTCGGCCCACCCGGTCCCCTCCGCCACTCCGGCGCGCTCGTGACATCGCACCACTGGCACACGAACTCCTCAGGCAGGCCCTCGCGCTTGCGCTTCCGCGCCGCCGTCTCGTTCACCGGCCTCCGCACCACAAACGGGATCCCCGCATCCCCCATCCTCATGACCACAAGCGCGCCCTCCTCCCCGTCATCTCCTCCCTCTCCATCCCTTTCTTCCTCAAACGCCTCGTCCCCCTCTTCTTCCTCATCCGCCGCCCCCTCAGCACGTAGTCGCGCCCTCTCCCGCTCCAGCATCGCCCGCTCAATGCGCAGCCCCAGGAACCGGTCCAGCGCCGCGCCCGGGCTCGACGGGTACGGCTGCGCGGACACGAAGAACACGCCTGTGCACGCAGCCGCGTGCGCTGCGAGGCGCTGCTGCGTGGTGGGTGTCTGCAGCAGCGGCAGCGGCAGCGGCAGAGCGCGCGGCATTGCGAAGTGGCCGCAGGCTTCGAAGACGGCGTAGCTGTGCTTCTCTTGCTCAACCTTAGCCCCGACCTCAACATTGGCGTCCGCATCAACATCGCCATCAGCATCTGCATCATCACCACCCTGCTCCCTCTCACGCGCTCTCCCCACAACCAGCCTTACAGACGAAACGCAACACCACTCCTCCTCGCCTCTTCAAGCTCGTGCACAAATAGTGCGCGGTCGTCAACATGCACCAAGTCCACGAGACGCCGCCCCAGCAGCTCGTGCGCCGGGATGCTTGTGAGTTCTGTGCTGCTCACTGTCGCGTGCAGGATGCTGCTGTCGGGCGCGAGCACGTAGTGGATGTTTGGGGGGTTGGCTTGGAGGACGCGCGCGTGATTGAGACGACGGGTCCAGTGTGGTTGTGGGGGTGTGTTTTGCGTCGTAGTGGTGTTAGTGTTGGTGGCGTTGATGGTGTTGATGGTAGTGGTGTTGACGAGGCTGTCGTGCTGATGCTGCTAGCTGCAGCCCTGCTTGCAGATAGTTTTGGCATCGTGGAGGACGTGCGTTTGGCTGCTGATGGTGTAGTTGGTGGTAGTGATGTAGTGGTTGCTGGTACGAAAGGCCGCCATATCGTGAACTCCCCTAAACAGCAACCGATACCGTAGCAGGTAGCCCGCAAAACAAGGAAAAAAAGAAAAAAGGACAACGCGCCCGCACGCCAAGCAGCACAGCGACTATACATACACAAGCACGCGCATCCGGCACACGGGGGTGGCAAACCCAGTCGTCATACCCACCTACCCAGGCGGTGGCACGATCGGGCAGTCCGCAGCGTTCTAGACGCACGGATACGAAGGACCAGCAGGAGTAGTGCTCGTAGGAGTGGCGGCACGAGGCTGTGAAGGCTGCCTCACTGGGTCGCCGGCCGAATGACGCAAGGGCGGCACGGCGTCCGCGTCCCCGGGTTAGGTACTTACATAGCTACGCCTACTACGTAGTAGGTACGTGGTACGGACGGGGTTGACTGTGAAGGAATTGTTGTTGGGTGATGGCTTGCCTTGCTACTGTTGGCGTTCTCGTAGCTATGTACATACTCACGCCGTGCCGGCCGTTCATAGATTATCAGTACTTCGTAGCTGGACCTACTTACAGGTGTGAATCTTTCGCCCAAGCCGTAGGCGCTGTGTATGTAATTATTTTTTTTTTAGTCTTAGTTTTTATCAATGTTTATATATATCTAGGTGTTCCTTCTCTAACGATGACCCCCCGATTTTTGTCTTGATCTAACATATATATATCTCTTCTAACTTTTCTAACTTTTTATTCCATACTCTACTCGCCCTCACTCGTCTAAAGCTTACTCCTCTACGCATACGCCCGCACCTCTGTTCTGCTGCCATCTTGCTTGTACCTTTCCCTTTGCATGGTGCGGCGGACCATGGTGCCCCAATGCAGGGTAGGAGCAAGCGTGAAGTTAACGTCAATTCCGCGTGGTATAGACAGAAATGTCCATCAGCGTGTGCTTTCCTCCCTGCCTCTGTTGACGGTGTTTTCATACATAGAGGACGCCTCGTTCACTGCCTCGCCGCATGTTTTACTTTTTACCACCTTGGCTTGTCGTAGTAGCCCGTTTTCTTCGTTCTTCTCCTTCTCTTCCTCTTCCTCTTCTCTTCTTCCTATTCATCGTCTTCTCTTATTTCCTCCGTCATGTGTCCCTGTTTGCCTTTCGTCGTGTGTTCCCAAGGCCAGATCCAGAAACGGCAGGACGGCACGCTCAGTACCATGGGCACCATCCGACATGGCAGATGCGGTCGATCATGATTTCGCTGACCTTGCTCGTGCCTACGCTCATGCTCACGCACACGCACACGCACACACACGTAACCTCCGCGTAATGGGGCCGCATCCCAATGCGGAACGACATCCCGAACGATAACACATCCACAATGACACATATTGGGGGCCGAGTAAAACCGTGACCCCTGCGCCCCGCATGTCTCGTACGGGTAACGGAACACAGGTCCCGTAGGCAGCAGTCCGTGGCAGTAACCAGCATTCAACAGCCGGTAGTCGCTCATCAATCACCAGCCTGATGATATCAGGCCGGGCGTCCGGCTCAACCGTTAGCCTTGGCGCCAGCCTTGGTATTGCTCTGGTCAAAGTAAAGACTGATGCCGTTGTCGAGGGCTTTGATGCTTAGTGGCTTAACGAAGAACTCGTTCGCTCCGGCTGCGAATGAGCTGGCTTTGTCTTCAGGAGAATCCTGGCCGGTGACTGTAGGCGCGCAAAGCGCGGATTAGCTCACTATTGCAGATGTCAGTAGGGAAAGGAAATACATACTGATGAAGACAACTGCCTTGTGCCTATGCGGGGCGAGCTCCACCTCGAGGCTGCGAATCGTGGCAGTGGCCTCGACGCCATCGCAGTTCGGCATTTGCAGGTCCATGAGGATGAGGTTGATGGGCTGCGCCTTGGCAGCACAGGCCTTGAACTGCGCAATGGCCTCATTGCCATCCGCCGCCATGGCGTACGGAATCTTACGCTTCTCACAGTACATGCGCATAATGCGCATGTTGATGATGTTGTCGTCGACGATAAGCGCGCTGGGTGCCTCGTGGATACGCGCCGTCTTGGTGAAGAGGTCACAAATCTCCTCGACGGGTGGTGGGGGCACGCACTTGCGGGGCTGGTTGATAGGGGGGAGCGAAAGTAGCGTCGGACACATCTCGTCGACTTGTTTGAGGATCGAGTTAAGATGGTCGGAATTAAAAGGGCCGTTGAAGAAAAGCAGTTTGTTGTATCCGTCCGGTACGCGCAAATGAGCCATGGTTTTCCTGCCTGGTACTAGGCAGATGGCGACTGCGCTCGGGTCCACTAGGGCGAGAGAACGCTGGAATTCGCTTTCGTCTTCGGTAAAACTGATGATGTTCAGGGAGTCATACGACTTGGAAGAGTGCTCGTAACCGCGATGCTGGAGGAAGCTCATGAAGTGCCGGACCAGTGGCGCGGCGTCTCGGCCCGTAGGAATCTCGTGGAAATGCCTAGGAATCCCGTGCAACGCCGTTGAGTCCAAATGTGGCAGGGGCTTGCTTGGGCACGCAAAGCCAGGGTTATGAAATTCCGCACGGAAGTGCGAGCCCTTGCCGAGCTCCGAGGAGACTAGGAAAACGGTGCCGTCCAAGGCCGTTGCTATCTTCGATGCGATCGTCAAGCCGAGACCCACTCCCCGAGAGTGTGAGTCGCCCTTTTCGTACGCGTCGAAAATACGGTGTTGGTCTTCTTTGCTGATACCAGTGCCCGTGTCCTTGACATCAAACTGTAAGACCGAGTAGTTATCGCTTGCCGAAGTCTCGACGAGGACGCTACCGTGTGAGGTTGACTGGATGGCGTTTAAAATTAAAGATTGGAGGCACTCTTTAAGGAGTGCAATGTCGGTCGTAATGATACTGCATTCAACACTCAGTCTGTTGTCGAACAGCACCGAGGTATTAACTATTTCGTCTTCCGGTAGCATTTGCGAAATATCTCTGAGTATGTCCGATTCGAGGCGCGTCAGTTCATAAAGCGTCGCCGTCCTCACAGAACGACTCGATTCAGCCCATTGGTTAAGCATAAGCATGTTGTTGACCGTCGACATTAGTTCGCGGCCGGAGTTTTGTATCGCCTGAAGATACAATTGTGCGGTTCGCATCGACTGCTCCCTCTCGTCCGATCCGACGGCAGCAGAATGGTTAAGGGAACCAAGTTCTTCGCCAAGTAACTCAACGGATCCAAGAATACCGTGGATAGGCGTCCGGAGTTGGTGGGTAATTCCTCTGAGAAAGGTCTCCTTTGCCTTGAGTGCCTCAGCCAACAAATATTCTTGGTAGATGTTGCAGTAGATTTGAGCGCAACTCTCCACAAACCAGGCATCTACATCGTCAAATACAAACTGCACATCCCGAGATGCAACCACTAGGTATCGGTTATATGGTGCCCTGCTGCATTTTCCAAAAACAGCGCGAACAGATTGTCTGGACGTAAGCTTCTGGTGGTTGTGCGTAAGAATCAAAAGCTCCAGGTATTCGGAGTCTTCCCAAAGCCCATCTTCCACTTGCGAGAGCGCCACGGGGAGACGGTTCTCCACGTGAAGAGTACCGGCGTCTACGTCTTGGAAAGAAATCTGCGCCTCCGGATAGATTTTCGAGACTACCATTTTAACCAACTTTTCGACGTTTGCAGAAGTCGCTTGGGCCTTTGCTTTCGAGAGCAGATCGCCCATAATTTGACGTTGGCGTTGGCGGCTCATTCGGCATTGGTTGACGATCTCGGCGGTAAGGATGTCGGCGAATCGAGCAAGAGCAGATTGTTTTTCTGGCGGCAGTTCGATCGGCGCATTAGCAGCAACGCACAAGGAGCCAAGGGAGATTTTTTGGCCATCCTCCGTCTCGTACCGGAGCGCGGCACCAGCGTAACTTTGCAGGCCACCCTCTACCACGTGCGGAGAATGGCGAAAGCGCCAATCCTCGCTCATGCTGGGCAAAACTAAAACCTAGTAGTTGTGAGTAGAGAGCCCTCGGCTCTACCTGTAGACGGCACCACTTACACCGGACTCTTGGTTGATGGTGTGAGAGCATGTGCTCTCTCTCCTTGGCAAGACTGCCAGCGGCAGGCCATCCGTTACCAGGCGCATGTAAACATCATTGTCCAAGATACCCATGATGACAAACTCCCACCCAATGTAACCTCGCACCAGGTTTACTATGCCTTGTAGCTTCTGAAGCAGCTCCGTGTCCTGAGTTATGCCTCTCGTGTAGTACCACAGCATTGTCAGGCGCAACCGCTCGTTCCGGGCCAGAACGGGGAAGAGGTATCGGTTCGCAAATTTGGGCGGCTTGGGCGGCAGCGGAGAAGAGACGGGCGTTGACGGGCCCTCGAGGTAGACGGAATTGGCGGCGTCGTCGTCGTAGGGTGCGAGGGGCTGGTTGGCATGCTCTCGGTCGAAGATGGGTTCGACATTGCTAGGGCGCGCGGGTAGGTTATGGTGCTCGCGCCGCTTATAGATGCCATCCGACCTTGGGAAGTAGGTGGTCGGACGGCGCGCTGTCATTGCTGGAGGGTGACTGTCAGGCAGTCGTCGCTATGAACGGGATTGCGCATAGGTTTTGCTTCAAACGAAGACGTCTCTCGCCCTTGTTATTGCCGCTAATGAAGGCAGAGGTTCCAGGGAGCGTGCTGATGTTAAAGTGAGCTGACTGTAGAGCGTGCTCAGGTCTAGGCCAGCCTGAAGGCGCCGTGAAGGCTGAGGTTGGCTTCTGTCCTTAACGCGGTTCTAGAAACTGTCTGTCAACGGTCGGTGGTCCGGGCAAAGTGTGACGGAGCGACGCGTAGACAAAGCTGATGTTCGCCCTCGGCTGTCGGAGCATCAGTCCGCCCTACTAACCCTCACCCACCAATATCTGGAAATCATAGACCATTCAATATCACTGCGCTTCCCGTTTCCAACCATTATTGACATGCTTCATTCCTGCTGCATTCCGATCTTTGGTGCACGTCGTTAGTCTAACGCTCGTCTGGCGACTATGCTCCTAGCTCCATATCCCCTTCTCACTAGCCAAATTTCTGAGCTTTTCCGCCACACGATCGCCGCTGCATCCGGGCTCTCTCAAGGATCGGACGGAAGGGAACATGGATTCACCGCATCAGGCACTTCAGGCCTCCTAAAAATGCGCCCCTTTCTCCTCCTGAACCACCATCCCTACCCATCCCCTACCCAATTAGGCAGTCCCTGACCATCTAGACATGAGCAACTGCAGCAATTCGGAGCCGGCGCACCCGCACACTCCGGACACGGGTGCGAGCGGTGCCGTTGTGGCGCTGAGCGTACCGGCAGGGGTCCAACAACCCCCTCTACCGCGCGCTGTGGTAGGCCCCCTCGCACGCCTCGCTCACCATCGTGTTGTGCAGTAACAACAGTGCGCCCATCGCACACGAGTGCCGCTGCCGTCTCCAGCAACCGATGATCCGCCGCGGCAACGGCAACGGCAGCGGACTACGGCCGTAACGCTCTGGGTGCGAGCAAACCTCGGAAATCGAACGGACCCGCATCGCTGGGCGCTCCCGGCTGCCGATCCGGACCGGGGCAGGCGAAGCGAGGGCTTCGGGGGTCTGCGTGCTCGATGTAACTTTATTGAGACGTCCAAGTCTGGAGAGTAGTGGGCCTGAGCAGTTGTAATCTCCGTGGATGCTGATGACATGGAGAACGTTTGTTCCGCGCCGTGATGGAAGATGCGTTGCTGCTGACGCGGTGCCAGATGTATGAAGTGAGGAGTGGAATGATGTTGTTGTGGCTCCTGAGATTGGGATGAACCTAGTTAAGGGTTTACGCAGTTGTCATTTGTGAAGAACCGGGATTCCCCTGCTATAGCTGCTATAATTATTTGATCGAACAAGGGAGAGGGTGCGAGGATACACCATGGTGAGGCATATGCGGTGGTAAGTCGCACGGTTCGGAAATAAAGGCTGCAAAATTCGAATGTGTGCTCGGAATCGGAAGTCAATCTCCACTCCCGCCTGGAAGAACAGTGCTGAAAGTGTACTGCCACCATTGATAAAAGGTATTCGTTCGATGATATGGAGTATCGGCTTGGGATGTCTGCGTATTTATAGTCAACCCTGAAGAAATGCCAAGCCCGGAAAGGCCTCACTAGATGAAGGACGGAAAGTAGTAATAATATTTAAACAAGCAAGATAACACTGAAAGATAACACTGAAAGCTCACCCTTATTGATATGCAAATTGAATACTGTACAAGGAATTCCTCTGGCGTCTCTCGCAAATACGCGGAGGAATGTTGAATACGCGCAAACGCATCGTCCGGCTTCCCCGGAGGTTGAATTTAAGCCAATGACCACAAAACTCCTTGAATGCGCATAGAAGAGGCCGTTCAATCATGGACGCCCTCAAAATGCGGCTATGTCCCTAAACGAAACACTTTGTCTCTGATGATGCTGTAATACTTGGACTGATTTTTTTGCAGCCGTGTTTGTCGTTATCCCTTTTGGGCGTCATACGTGAAAACACACTGTTGCGAATTGGCCTCAATAGCGCTGATACGGGTTTCCCGCGTTATTCTCTTCTTCGACTGCTCCTAATGACACTTGCCCGGGAAACCAGTTTGCGGCAAATGGTTGTGCGGGTCCAGGAGGCGTGCTTATTGGAGCCGATGTCATGTAAGGTTGCCATCCCTGGGGAGCGCTGAACGGAAATGTCGACGCGGGCCGAATGTTTGGATTCATCGGTGCTGACGAAACGTCCATGCTTGAGCGTAGCCCACCCTGCTGTATAGGCATGGTGTTGGCGTGTTGGAAGCGATAGTCTGGGTGCATGCCGTCAGGGCCACTGAAGGACATTGATCTTGCTACCCCAGGCCATATGTTTTCATCCTGTAGTTGTTGTGGGTTTCCTAGATTTGGCGGAAGACCGTGGGTCTGTTGCATCGGGTTGGGTGCGTCGTCGAAAAACGCCGAGGACATGGAAGTACCAGGAGCTGACCAGTACGCGATTGATGAGCCGTCCGAGTTGGCATCCGATGAAGTCCGCGCTGCATAGTCGGAAGACCACGCTCCGACATCAAACGAGGGAGAGTAGTTGAAAGAGCTTGTTTGTGGGATGACTTCTTCAGTTGTTAGCCTAGCGCTTGCAATTCTGTGCAACGCGGTCTTGCCACCTACCACCATTTTGTGATTTCATGTCAACATGGCTGTCGAATTCGGTCGAGACGCCGTAGCTGGGAGGTTGGTCGCCGCTTGGTAGTTGCTGGTACGAGCTATACTCTTCGACTTGTTCATGGCCAGAGGCAGTCGACGCGCGAGGAGAAGACGAGTTAGACGTCGAGGTAACAGCAGAGACGCTGCCCCGTTTTGCGTTTTGTGACCGCGAGTCCCCGGATGGTTGCTGCTCGACCGGATAGAAGTTGCATTCCTTCTTCAGCCTAATGCAGTTGGAACAGCGCCCTTGGGCGTCTTCGGGCGCTATTAAACATCTTATCTTCCTTCGTCGGCAATGACCTGCGGCGAGTCAGCAATCGGATGGTGTCAGTATAGACGCTAGGTGGGTTGCACGTACCGCAAGCGACCGAGGTTCGATGGTATCCTAACTTGTTGCGTCGCTTTTCCGAATTGGGCGAGATTTGACCAGAATCCGCAAAGCCCAGAGCGCGCATATGAGGAGTCGAAGAGGACCGCTTGATTACAAGCGGCGGTTTTCCTTTGGAGGGCCTTCGTTTCTTTGCTGTCTGGTCGTCTGAGGCAGTGATGGGGTAAGCTCGAGCGCCGCGAGTGTGGTCAGATCCGTCGACGCTGTCGAAAAGCGGTTGGGCAAACGGCTGTGCGACCCCGATACCTGAAACCGGGACGGAAGGGATATATGACATGCCGTGCTGCGATCCCAGATCGCCGTACATTCCAGCTTTATCCTGGCGACGCGCTTCCGAGTGCTCCAACAGCAGAACCGCCATAGACTGAACGGGTTAATTGCCACACCAGCTATGTCTAGAGCTTGGATGCGGAGAGGAGGGTTCCTGGGAGAATGCTTTGTCCGGGAAATTTTGAGACGTGTGTCGAAAGGGAAGAAAGCCTGGAGCTCAGGTCATAAGGGGACGTTATCAGGGACAAGGTGCCCGGAAGCCATCCACGGCGTTGGAGCTAGTTCAGTTGAAAAGCCGCCAAAGGGCAGCGAGCGGGGGCGGAAGTCCAGGCGCAAGAGGCTAGGAAATACAGGTGCTTTGACCAATAGATGGGGACGTTATGCTGGGGGCTTTTCGCATGATGTGCTATTATTGTGTGCGAGCAGAGAGACAGCCATTGGTAATGCGTACGTCAGCTGGGTCATGCCAGCCAGCAATTTCCACTTCATCGTCGAGCAGTGCGCAGGTAAGCTTAAAGTCGCAAGCAATCTTTGATGGTGTGGCGACTGCTCCAGTCTCTGGCTAGGAGAGGCTGTCCGGAACTCGATTGGACCGGAGGGGAAGAGCTTTGGCTGATCATGACTGGCAATTGGCAGGGGCAGGCGCTGTGACATATCCTGGTCTCTCGGTGGCGGCCGCTGATGTGCGGAATGGTTAGTCGATGCGGCGTCGTCCAGGGTTGGACTTCCTGACTTGATGGAGCTCGTCACGGAACATCCCTTTCGCCGGTCCCACAGGCGTATTGTTGCGGCTGCACCTCCGACGCCTGTGGCAGGCCTCTCTCACTGCCCTCCCCCATTCCGCGGCGATGGCCGGATCGCCACCTTCTCAGCGCAGCGAAGAAAAAAAAGATGGGCCCGGCCTGCGGCGCAGCTCGTCCTGGTTGGACCGCCCGTTGGCGCTGCTGCAACGCGACACAGCGTCAGGGCCACGAGCCTGAGGCGCCCCTTCTTTTGCTTTTTCCGCTCCAATCTCCCCAGCTGACCGAGCAGAGCACCGAGGAGAACGGCGAAGGCTTCGGTATCGGTTCGTCTTCTCCACACTGTTCATCTCGCCGGCGCAGTGATCGCCCGCTTGGCTTGTTGAGGCATGACCTGGCGCCGTTAGCTCGCCTGCCAGGAGCGACCCTAGAGTACGGAGTGGCTGCCGGCTGTGTTGAACCTATGGTGTTCGCCGGCTGATTAGGGTGGGGGCGCTCTGGCTGTCGATGTCGTCTTCTCAGCTACTGCGTGGTGGGGTTCTGGCTCTGGTCCCAACGGCGATGCAACCTTGGCTGCTGATCGCCCAGATAGGGGGGCCATCGCAATCGCGGTCAGGGTCCCAATCGCCGGTGATCCACGAGATCGCGCCTCGAGGGCCTGTCTCACTGTCACTCCGGCACGTTCTCGCGAGCGAACTGACGACTGCGGTTCATCAATTTTCGCAGATCGATCCAGCGACAGCCTGCCATTAGTCCCATGTCCACGACGGCGGCCTCTGTGCTCCCGTGCGTTCCTGCAGGATTGGATCCCGCCACCCGTTCTTGGTAAACATTGTCTGTGTCCCCGGTAAAGCGCGCGTCCAGAGCATAACCTGGCCCGAGCAGCTGCACATCCCTCGAAGTTACATGGCACCAGAAATCGAAAACCTGGGGCCTGGCGTCGCTGCATGGAGCGCGTCTCCTCGGCCTGCTCCTCGAATGTCCCATTAGGGCCCTGGTGCTTCTATTCCCGGATTCCCGCTGCTGCGGAAATAAATTAAGGACTGCTTTCCCCGAAGACGGCTGGGCTAAACCTGAGATCTGAGTGTTCCAAGGACCTCTTTCACCCGCCAATTTCTCCGTACGGAGACGACGGACTTAATCAGCTCGCTAGTGCCCTCAGAGCGGTGAAACGTCATGAACCCTGCAGCACCGAGTGGTGTGACTGCGTGCTGGGTCCTGGGCCCGTTCTCGTACCACTCACCCAGCTCCATCTTTGCCATCATCCAGGGGCCTTATCCCAGGTTTGTGGATCTGAACGGACATTCCGAGGCTCCTTTGGCCATGAATTATGTCAAGTTGGAAAAGCAAAGGAACAGGAGGGGTCTGAACGTGCGCAACCCTACTTTCCACGGCCACAAAACCAGTCGATATCCCTGCCGGCCCACGAGTTCATTGACGGGCACAATTACACGCACAACGAGCCTACGACAGGGTATTCCCTGGGGATTCCCCTGAAAGGTTCCAAGTCTAGAGCTAGCAAGATGAGACAAGGCATGACAAGGATTCTGCATAAGGCAAACGCTCATCGTGTTGCCTTGTAAATCCGAGGCCAGATGACCTTTTGCAGAAGATGCAGAAGCATTGTGACGAAGCTCAAAGTGATCACAATGGGCGATCATTGACCATGACTGGAAATCCCCGATGGTCTGGGTCGATCGTAAGCTAGTCGCGACCACATTGGCGTAGCAACAATGTGGGTATATATATCCATTCGAAGGTGCTGATTCCGGAGTTGCAGATGCGCGATAATCCCAGTTACGTTGTGCCTGTACTCCGGTGAGACCGATACTGATTCATTGTGTCTGCGAAAATCGCACTACTGTCACCAGTGGATACGTTGGCTCATCAACATCAAGTATTCGGCCAAGATGCGGGTCTGTATCGCGTCATTGACTTACAACTAGTAGCAGCAGTGATTCGGAGATGAAAGTCACTTGCTCGGTTCTAGGCTGGCTTTATTCCGTTGCAGCTTCGTGGCCTTTGAAAAGTTACTCGCCTGCTAATGACGACTGGAGCAATATGTACCTGTCCCGAAGCTTCCACGATGGCTGTTTTTCGGAATCGAGTCGTCAGTCGGTTGCGCACTGTGACTGGAAATATGCTAGCCATCATCACAATACGGCCCTTCACAATTCTCCCCTTACTCTAACCACCACTACGGCTACAGATCTTGACATCCATTCGCCAACTCACTGAGTCAGGTCTTATGAGGTTTGATTTTGTTATATCTCAACCTAGAGGTCTCGAACTAAGTCTCCAGGTTCTCAAAACCCTTGCTTTCATACGGCAACAGTCTTCACCACTAGGTGAACAAGAGAGCTTATTGCAGTTATACATAAGTCTAAACTCTGATCATCCACAAGTTTACCGGCCTTCGGTCACCACGTACATTGCAAGACCTACTAGAACCTGCTCCCACCAAATCTAGTCGTCAAGTTGAAGGCTTCATTAACAATATTAGTCAAACTCCGTAATCTAACACCATACTTGTTCCTAGAAAGCTACTCTGGCACTTAGACGAGGAATCTCTTCCAAACAATACATCGCCTGTCATGCCCATTTCCCTTCCAGATCAAACTACACGATATCTTCCAGAAGATACGGACCGCTATCGACGAATCAGTTCAGTATTTCGAGGAAGAACCAACTACATTACCCGACAGTATCACTCGGCGTACCAGAGTCTCAACTCGAAAATCTGTGCAAGCTACCTCAGAAGGCCCTGCTCCAGACTGAGTACCGTTTATTAAATTTCACAACAATGCATCAAAACAGAAATGTTCCATCCCAGCTATTGCACATCGCCACAGCATCTTTGATCCCAGTGTAGATGCTGAATGGCAGAGCCTCGGAAACATAGTATACTGGCTTCTGATTCGTCAAAATGACCTGCGAACTCAAGGTACCTAGCACGGCACTTTGAATGAATAGTGGACCAATCCTCCACATCACTAGAACATGGTTTGGGCTTTTCACGTTTGCATCGCTTAATACGAGACTCACTCAACCACTTAGGCTCCTTCCTATTCCTTTGGCTTTTAATGCAAGCTTAATTCCGACTTTGGCTTCTCACTATTTTTCAGTTCTCAACTTCTGTATCAATCACTCGACATCTATCATGCACGGAGCACACTAAGTAGCACTAGCACTATTGGAAATCTCCGGTAGTCTTGCGAACCCACTTATCTTCTTCCCTCAAACTCTCCTGTGAAGTTTCCACTTGACTCGTACAGCAGCTAGGCAACCTGACGGAGCATCGCTAAACCAAGTTCCGAACGATTTAGCTTTGTCCACTTTCACGATGCGGACGTTGAGATATCCGAGCACTCAGAGTGTGCCGATCCTCAACCACCCGGAGGCGAAATTCCACCATACATTCGTATCGAACGGCAATGCGGACGAGGTCCTTATGCCGTCAGAACATGATTATCCCCGGTTATCGTCCTAACTGTTCATGCAACCACACACGGACCATACGTAGTTCAACTGGGCCTCGAACGTTGTGGTGGCCTCTCGTATGTATGTATGTGTTCCGAGCTCCGGTTGACGGAGCTAGTTCCCGACAATTGAGCGCCGGGCCGCAGACCGCGGCGCATTGCAAGACAGCCGAAGAGTCCGTTGCGGGCTAAAGCTTTGGCGTCGCTCAGATCATTTAACGGCATCGCGCCCGACATCTGCACTAAAAGAACCGAAAGGTTAAATCCATAGCTCTATGCCAAGAAATACGGGCGCGACCTACTTCATTTATCACGCCAAGACTGGCCAATCCCAGCTGTTGGTTGACATCGAGGCTGGGCACTGTCAATCTGTTACCGTACTTGAGTACCGTCGGCTCGAGCTCCCGGGGCTCCTTGACTGTTCCGTCAGCCCCTCTACCCACTTGCATCCCAAGATGGCAAGTCTTGACGGTACCAGATGCGGAGGGAAATTGCGAAACTTGGTTTGTTTTAAACTCCAGTCGAAGGTAGATATGCGTTGTTCTCAAGGTGCGACCGACTCTAATCAGGCCAAAAAGGCCACCAGCAACTGCTCCTCCAGGCGAGCTCCAACTGCTTCATGCCTACAATATTTCTGCGGCATTAACCGTGATTTAGCTCAATCCTATCAGATGGAGCTCGATTAGCTTCAAGCAAAGATATCTCCTGGAGTCTGAGCGCTCGCAAAACAAAACCAATGATCGTCCGAGGCGGGCCCCCAATGAAACGTACATCCGTGCGCTACCGCGTTGCTCATTATGCAACAAAAGCAAAAGGATCTGATATGTCGATTCATGCTTGTTACATCAGCAAAGAAATATGCGGAGAAGTCAGGGATAGGGAACACCACGGGAAACAACTGCCGCCACTCATCATTAACCGAGGCCGTCCTTACCATAAGGCGTATGATCGGAGCGGCTAGCAGCATCATCGCTGCTATAATATACATGCTATTATATCCGACTGCCAGAGTTAGACGATGACGGGGTCAGCAGTATCTCTCGAACTCCTACCGATTGGTGTGTATCCGGCATTCACGGTCATTTTCCTGCTTTCGCTTGTCTCGGAGCTCTGAGATTTTTAGCAAGCTACGGAGCACCACGTAGCAAACGGATATCAATGTGCGTGGACTCCGTAGTTAGCATCAGACCCATCAGCCACTGGGGGCTCGAAATGACAAGCGGGGAAGACTCACTGAAAAGGAAAGAGGCCGATCACTGTAAGTCTGGATTCTCATCGTCTTCGCGCTCGTCTACACAATCATCCGTGTTCTAGAACGGCACCATAAACACGCGTTCTACGCGCAAGACAACAGATAGTAAGGAGTATACTACGTACACTCCGCGCGGATTGCACGACAATCAAAGTCGAACCGACCATCATATTGACGAAGTCGTTGAGGTACTGGGCATTCTTCGCGCCATGGTCAGCTAAGGGATGACAAGGGATACAGCACGCAATAACCAACTTGGAATGGCTTATGGCCCCCAAAAGATGATTCGTCCCCGCATCAGTTGAACGGGCACTAGTTGATTACCTGCCTGAAAAATGTCAGGCCGTTCATGCTACACGTAGTATAGTAACGCTTCCGACTGTTCACCATGCTCTAAGATAGGACCAAACCTATTAGAGACTAGCATTAAGAGCACTCTCCAAGGGGCAGAACCTGGATGACTCAGCCGTGTCGTCTTCAACCTACACAGACACTAGAAGGGACAATGTCCACTACACGATAGCTTATTTCAACGATCTTCGTTCAAATTCCAAATAGGACGAAAACATTTTACATCATTAGATCCAATACTGTCTAAAGACCGTTTTACACAGCACTCCAGGTATTGATCTGTTTACGTGACTCGCTATTAACGTCCTGGACGCATGAGCGAGCCTGATCCCTCAGCGAGCGCACCAATCAGATGGGCTCCCTAAAGGCAGTGATTTGGCGGAGATTTACGTGTTTTGATGTCAGCGAGAGGATCACCCATCGCACGAAGACGCAGACTGATTGGTGCGCTCGCTGATGGATCAGGCTCGCTCATGCGTCCAGGACGTTATAGTCTCGTAGAGTCCAACTCGAGTAACTATGCTGACTTTCCAACACAAGCAGCAAGCCACTCAAAAATCTTCGAAGCTACAAGCGGAGACAGAAACAGCAACCTCTTCTAGCAAGCAGCGCTCTTTAAACACGGGAATAAGAATAATAATTATAATTATGTTAGCAGAGAGTTGATAGAAAGGATGTCTCCGTGGAAGGATGTTTCGACAATACTAATTTGTTTCTAGGTTTATAACTTAGCACCCGAAAAGCTATATCAATTATACTTAATCGGAGCGGCAGCCATGATTAAGGGTCATGCAATTATCCATATCACGGTTTACTGGCAATAGCTATTTATCGACAATCCAGGTAATTCTCAGCTCCTACCCGGAGGATGTTGAAAAATCACATGGTAAACCGACGAATCGCTTCCTCGCTTTCCACTAGAGGCATGTTCCCGGAAAAATCCTATATGCTCGTGCATCAAAACTGTGACTCTTATTTATTATACCTCCTTCCTACTACATACAAATATCTCCACAGCACTAGCGCTCAAAGTTGTTGATACACTGGCATCCGAGGTCTCCGAGGACCACATACCCGAGCATCCGAGAGCCGACAAGCACGCCGGCGCGCCACACTGCAATAGCAGGGAAGTCTGTTCTCACCGCAACGCCATCCATGGCAAAAGGCATCGGAGTGGACGAGTTTGCCTCCTAGCCTTTCCCCCCTTCAAATTTTTTTTTTTTTCCTTCTGTCGACCCATGTTCTACGATAGAAGCTTTTGGCAGTCTAGACTTCGGAGTAGGCGACTCAACTAGCCAACGATCCTGTCTGCATCGAACTTTCCTTCTACGCTGGTCTACTCTAATCAACAGCCAGAGCAATCCTGCTAATTCACTTGCTCTTCTTCGGAATAGCCGCGCAAACCTCTCGGAGAACAACATCCTCCAGCCAAATCATCAATCAGCCTCAAGCAGCCCCAACGATTAGCTCGAAGCTAGCAATACTAGCGTTCCCCGTCACGATAACTAAGCCTCAAAGCCGCCTCCAACCGTAGGCTCGGTTCACGCTGCCCCGAGGGCGCATCACGAGACATCTATCGCGTCACCCTGCTTGACGCGGGGTAACGTTCTGACTAGAATAGACCTATGACTAGTTCAAGCCTAATTCGTAGCGCAGAGCCTCGAGGTTGTGGAGGGTCTAGACCACTGCGTCACTCGGAGTTGGACAGATGTGGAGCTTCTACTTTGAGTAGAAGCGACTTCGTCATACAAACACCACACCAGGACCTCGTGATACCTGCGTACTCGGACCCACTTTATACATCCACAAAGTAATAATCTCGCCATGAGGTCACATAGTGCTGAGACTGTAGGTGCGAACGGTATACTAAATCCCCAGCCCACAAATCCTTCGATCCCCCGCATTGCGAGAAGCCTTAAGCTACTGGGTTGCCTGCAGAAAGTGATGACCTCGAACCGAAACGGCCAAACTGGGATAATCGGGTCAGGTCAAGGGTAGGGTCATAATCCTGAAGCTTTGAGAATTAGATCTGCATGGTGACGAAATTATATGTTGCCAACTATAGGTAAATCCTTGTGGTGGAGCTTATAAATAAGCCCATCAGGTCATCGCTGATGCCTGGCTCGTCATTGACAGTCCATCAGCTGCTCTCTGCTGGTGAGCTTGCTAAGCAGCTAGATCCTTCAAGTGAATAGCATGCAAGGACGAGACATAGTCGTCGAGGCAAAGTCGGACCCCAGCTACTGAGGATGCGCCTTGTCAAGACGGCTGGTCGAAAGAGAATATGCCCATTACAAGGCCTTGAACCGCAGTGTACAGCACTTGTTACGATGCCAGCACGTCGTGTTTGAGCTAGCGGCAAGTCCTTCGGATGAAGTAAAGGCTTCCACCTCGAGGCCACTACTTTGTTTATAACTGTCAATAGCAGGGCGTTCTCTGAAGGAAAAAAACGCTACCAGACCTGGAAGGATGGAAGCACACACTCGTCAAGATCCTATCCGTATCGGGAGTTAAGCAACAAAGGAATATGAGCATGAGGACAGGGACAAGAGGGTGAGCATGCTTTCCCGTTATCTCGAGCCTCAGGATATTGATTGATAATCCACATCACCTCCTCGCTATCTTCTCAGTTTCAATGATGCTCAGCATCCTCAGCCCCTGGCAATACACAACAACAAGAGATCAAGTATGGGGACGGCACTGAAGTAGGACGGATCTCCCGTCTTCTGCAAGATTCGTAAATTTTGCTTGCATCTTCCTAAAAGTTAACATTTTCGTGCGCGTAGTGAACTTCAATAGGAGAAAGCCGTGCCATTCCCTTGCAAACAGACGATGCCGATAACTCAATTACGGTCCAGCGATAAAGGTAGATTTTGGAATCAGCACAGCTTCTTATAGAGTCCAGTTCTGTGCCCATGATGGAAGGGAATGAACGGAGCTTGTGGACTTGAAAACTCAATATTCTCTATTTATTCTTGACACCAGACAAAATCCCTATGTTTACCGGTGAGCAAGTGGAGATTGTCCTTATAATGTAAATATAGAATTTGTGACATTGTGTCTCTTCATCAAATATAGAAGCACACTATAAGCCGACGTCTCATCGAAGCAAACAATACGATTATTTCAATGATCTTCCGCACCTCAGACCCCAATACAATGGATCCGCCTTCTTAATTGAACCCAATCATCCATTGCGAAACACCAGCACCCTCTTCATCCAAATAGCATATGATCTTCAGATAACCCCCTCCTTCTTCATCGGTGTAAAGCTCCATCGTCCGGACGTCGGTGTCTCCGCATGTCTGAATCTGCACCTGTGCGATGACTGATGTTGAGTAAGCTAGTCTGCTGATTCCTGCTTCACGGGATTCGGAAATGCATGCTGACTGCATATTTATCTGTGATCGAGTTCATATTTGGTTAGTAAACAAAAGGCTATTAATTTACTGCTATAGTTTATAGAATTATAGCTTCTTTTATCGTTTGCGCATGGATTTTTCTATAATAAACTGTTTTGCTACCCGGATACTAAGTAGTGGATTTTGTCAAGTTCTTTAGAGACCTTTTTTTTTTTTTGGCCATGAAAAAGAGAGCGTTTGATCGAAATGGAATCGAGAATTGTATGATAAACGAAACAGAAATGTCTCTTGGTTCTAATATTTCCATGAAAAAGAGTAGGTCGCTGCAACTAAAGTAGATTCTCTATATAACTATTGCCTGGAATTAGATAAATGCGAACTTCAGACCTCACCGTGATTTTTAACGTACTGTAATCGCCAGTGGAGTGTCTCTCAAGTTGAAAGAAAGTATATGTCGTCTTGGGCAGTGCAATATAGACTTGGTCATCTAATTAAACCTGTAGCCCGCTCTATCTTTTCCATAGACAGCCTCAAAATCACATGTCACTCAACATTATCTTTCCCATCAATCCTCCATCATCTGGCATACCAACACGACAAAGCCCAAGCTAAAAAGAGCATGCACAGCAAAACCTCCCGAAAAGCTGAAACGATTGCACAAGAAAAGTCCGTTCCGATAATTGTTCCGGTTCTTATACGACATCATAACTCTAGTCATAGAGCACTCAACAGCTCAAGGTTAGGTATGCAGCTAGCCTATTTCTTAACTAAATAGCTCCGAGAACCATCCGAAAGCTGACGAAAAGCGATAACACTTCGATTTTCTCGCCGCTCATCCCGACTTGCCGACTGTCCGTCTGGCTGGCTGGCCTCATTTCATTGTCTTATTCTGCCTGGCGATACAGCAAGGCAGTTTATAGCATCTTAACTTTCTACCTCATATTCGCATACTTCAGTCTTTACTGACACTTATCATCACTCCAACGCGATACTATCTAACACCATCACCTTCCGGTAGTACTCCACACCATCACCGCAAAACTATAAGCGCGCCTTCTCAAGGCACAGCTAGGCGTTGTTGTTGTGAATATCGCCGCAGTAAAAGTAATTTGCGGGATACCACAAGAAAGCTTCTGACATAATATTGTGGCCGTGTATGGATTTCTTCAGTGTGTCCGGGCCAAGTGGTTCCTAAGAGTCTGGAGAGGATCATCAATCATGGCGAGCAACCACTGCGAAGGGCGACTTCCGGCTAAGATTACCACACCGTACACGGCTATAAGTAAGGACTTCATCGCGTGTCTAGTTAGTTGTATTCATAGGAATCATGCTATATAGCCTAGGAGACGTGCATGCACAACTTGCTTTTTTTTTTTTTTTTTTT